AGTGAGAGTTCAGGTGGTTGGTCCATGCTTACCTTGTGCCTCGAGTGAGTGTTCATGTGGTTGCTTCATGCTTACCTTGTGCCTCGAGTGAGTGTTCATGTGGTTGCTTCATGCTTACCTTGTGCCTCGAGTGAGTGTTCAGGTGGTTGGTATATGCTTACCTTGTGCCTCGAGTGAGAGTTCAGGTGGTTGGTCCATGCTTACCTTGTGCCTCGAGTGAGAGTTCAGGTGGTTGGTCCATGCTTACCTTGTGCCTCGAGTGAGAGTTCAGGTGGTTGGTCCATGCTTACCTTGTGCCTCGAGTGAGAGTTCAGGTGGTTGGTCCATGCTTACCTTGTGCCTCGAGTGAGAGTTCAGGTGGTTGGTCCATGCTTACCTTGTGCCTCGAGTGAGAGTTCAGGTGGTTGGTCCATGCTTACCTTGTGCCTCGAGTGAGAGTTCAGGTGGTTGGTCCATGCTTACCTTGTGCCTCGAGTGAGAGTTCAGGTGGTTGGTCCATGCTTACCTTGTGCCTCGAGTGAGAGTTCAGGTGGTTGGTCCATGCTTACCTTGTGCCTCGAGTGAGAGTTCAGGTGGTTGGTCCATGCTTACCTTGTGCCTCGAGTGAGAGTTCAGGTGGTTGGTCCATGCTTACCTTGTGCCTCGAGTGAGAGTTCAGGTGGTTGGTCCATGCTTACCTTGTGCCTCGAGTGAGAGTTCAGGTGGTTGGTCCATGCTTACCTTGTGCCTTGAGTGAGAGTTCAGGAGGTTGCTCCATGCTTACCTTGTGCCTCGTGTGAGAGTTCAAGTGGTTGGTCCATGCTTACCTTGTGCCTCGAGTGAAAGTTCAGGAGGTTGCCCCATGCTTACCTTGTGCCTCGAGTGAGAGTTCAGGTGGTTGCTTCATGCTTACCTTGTGCCTCGAGTGAGTGTTCAGATATCTTGCCCTCCAGTCCATAGAGTATGGAGTTCCTGTTGTATTTGTTGAGGTCAGGTTCAAGGAATGCTACAGGGAAGCAGCAAGCAAAGGATCCTAGGCACTCTCCAAGGGCCGGCCGGTGTCTGGTAGAAACATGGAGGGGATTAACACTAGGATAAAACCCATACCTCGGCAGATAAAACAATTTAAACTGTCTTTATCCATCGGAGAATTTTAAGATATATTTCCTATTACATGTTGTTTCATTAGAGTTTTGCCACAATTTTGGATCATCATAGTTTTTATCAAATATTAATGTAGTGTTGACAATGTAGATTTACAGAGCTTTCTCGCTTACCCAAGAATAGCCCATAACACATTGACAGATGTACACCTCAATATACGCCAGTGTAAGGCTAGATCTGAACCTTCTTAAAAATAAATATAAATGTCTTTACAGAAACATTCTATTACTGCAGGAGATTACTCTAATATAGAGTTGAACTTTAACTGTCATAGTCATAATGACATCAAACATTTGTGGTTAGCATGGTGTTTTGTCAGTAGAAAATAATCAAGGAATAAGAAATTTAACAATATAGTGATTGAAAAAAATAAATAAAGAACTATCATAATTGTGATAAAAAATAGTTAGTTGAAATAAAATGAATGATTCTTGCAAAATATGTGTGACATTCCTTATGTAACATGATTTTAATGATTTTTCTTTTTAAATAATTAAGACTTAACAAAACCAACTTGCAATGGCTATGAAGACCATGGTAAAATAATCCTCTTACTCATTGACCCTCCAATACCAGAGATTCTGTCACTATTTTAAACAATCCTGAGATTAGTTGAGATTAGAATTTAAATTTTAACATTAACAAAGCAGGATTAATTAAAGCCAAAAACCAGCTGAATATATTGTACAGAAAATGTCTAGATACCGAAAGTGTAACATTCATTCCAACCCTGCCTTAAAGCGCTACCACCCATATACCCATCATAATTACTTTAGTTACTCGAAAAATTAAACTGACTAAATAATTCAAGCTTGAAAAATCCTGCATCATCACATGCAGTCAATCCTGTCAAAGTGTCCTTACTTTCAAATAACTATATGGCTTTCCAAGTTTCTTAAATTTAAATACCTATGGATTTTCAAGCTTCCTTAACTTAATTATGTAGTAGTGAAGATACTGGAAATGTAAATGATCACAGACTTTGGTTGATCAGAGCT